GGTGGAGGGGGTCGGCGCTGAGGAGGAGGAGGATGGTTTTTGGCGTTTGGGGGCGCGGGCGGAGGTGTCCTGGATTGTGGGCGGGCTGGTGGCGGCGGGCGCTTTTCTTTTGGACATTTTGTGTGTGTGGTGGTGGTTGCTGATTGAGATGTGAAAAGGTTCGAGGTGAGAGAGGGAGGTGTTTGTTGGTGAAGAGAACCTTGATGTCTGCTTTGAGAGTCAGGTAATGCGCGCTAGGATCGATGTTCGTGGCGGCCAAAGAATCAACGTTGTGAGATGAGCGGCTTACAAGCAGAAAATGAGATTTCCTCAGCAGAAAACGCTGCCGTCGCTGTGAAAGTCGAGGTTGATGAAACTATCCTGCTTTTGAAAGAAGTCCCAAGGGTAGCGGGAAGGTTGATGGAAAGATATCTTGGCGCTGCAGACAAGGGTCTCTGCCGCCCCACTCTTACCGCCTCTGCGATTGGCGGGCCCACATTTATCGCCAAAGATCTCTCAACGTCAAGCGTCGTCGACTCTCGAAAAGAGCGGCTCGAATTGCGACAAATCGTCCACGTACCGGCAAGATGTCGGTCCCACGCGCGAGGTTACTGCAGCTCATGGAGGTGAGAGGACTCTGCTATCCACCCGTCAACCTCGGTCGCTAACCCCGACTCCCCAGGCTCGCTGCAAGCTCTTCGAGACCACCTTCAACCCTGACGGCATCCGCGCCGGCAACAAGATCCTGAGACAGCGCCTCAAGGGCCCCGCCCTCGCCGGATACTACCCACGAAGGATATGGACCATGCAGGAGTTCCAGGCCGAGTTCAGGGATCTTCACCTCCTGGTTGACGACGAGAAGGAGCTGGACCGTTTCGAACATGTTTCTCTGTGGGTTTTCGGCATTGGGATAGCTGGGATGCTTGTGTGGTCTAACATGTCACAGTCTGAAAGCGCGCGGGAAGGGTGCGCCCAAGAAGAAGAACTCTGCTCCCGGTATGTTGGTCTGGGTGCTGCGGCGGAAGGTCAGCATGCTAACCGTACACAGATCACAAGAAGAAAAAATGATTGCTTGGAGCGACGGACGATGCCCACGATCTCATGTGTATTACTACTGTATAGAACAAGGTAAAAAAAGATACCCGGGTTTTTGGAACATATTGCCATTCTCGGTGCTGGAGTCGTGGCTGTGTTGCTTGCGTTCCCAGCCAGGTATTGTGGCCTTTTCTTGCCTTTGATCATGTTCTGTACGGTTGGGCTCAACCCATCATTTCCCCCTGCTTTTGTTGCAGCATATTACTGTCTGCCGACGGCACTGAAGCTGCTTAACCAGCAAAAGCAACATTGCCGTTACAGCGTCAATGTGGCAGATCGGATGATTTACATGCTCAACGCATCGACGTGATACCCCTGAGCGAGGTGATGAAACTGGAAACCTCCAATCGTGTGCCTTGCCTCGTCGCTGACGGCTATCGAGGCAGTCACGTCCACGGGTCCCTTCCGCCATATCCCTCCCTACCCTTTCCCACAGTTACCGACGCTGTGGCCACCCATTCGGCCGGGTCGTCCGGTCATTGGCTGCCCGGTAAGCAGTCGTCCCTTCCCTTTGAGCTGCCGTCTGATGTTGAGATGCTACATGTGAGACTCAAGCCTGCTCCGGTCCCCGGTCCTCCACTGCTCCGCCGATTCCAGCCTTCAGACGAGACGGTGACTGGCTCCCTCATCTGTCCTGTCTGTGGAATCGGCCAGCCGCCCCCTGCTGTTGTTCTTTCCTCCTTCACCAAACAACGGCTTTCCCTGGGCTTCCACCTCCCCTAGACGACCAAGCCCAACTCAACTACGCTCTTTACCACGCATCTCCAGCATCTCGGCCACGTTTTATAAAAGGTTCTTGGTCGAGGACGAACCTTCGGCGCACCACCGCAGAGGCAATCATCGATCAAAATCAGATCTCGGTCCCGACGGGCTAACTTTTTATCTCAACACGGTCCGCACCTTCCCTTCGACCAGGTCGCCTCACCTGCCCAGCTGAAGATTCGCGTCTGCCTCGTCGGTGGTGGAGCGGCAGACTGCCCGACCGTCTGCTCTACTTACTCCTCCGCCATCTGGCCTCTCTGCCTTTTCACCACAAACCATCAACTGCCATCTACTTCTTCTTTTTTGCTAGGTACACCTGGGCCATATTCTCACCTTGTCAGATCACATTGGATCAAGTAATTTGAATCGTCGGCTCTGTCTAATCCCGCACCGCCACCATCGGGTTCTGGACCATGTCGACCGCAGCCATGAGCGGCTCTCCCACGGAGCGACGTACCCAGGCTTCCAAGAGCTGCTCCCACGATGAAAACTCCAAAAACTCTGACGAGTTTGCGGCCCACTCATCTCAGGCATTGCCCCTCCGCATTCACTCGCTGCACAGACAGGCAATGGATAAGTTTCTGACCCGCTCTGCAACAGGACGGCAGCTCCCTTCCCGTCTCCCTCAAGAAGAACGTCAGCGCCCTCAGCACCTCGAAGCTGGCCAACCAGAGCTATCCCAAGGTTGGTGCTGCCACTCAACTCTCCTGTCAAAGATTGGACTGATCATAACAGAAGGTGAAGATCAAACACGAGCCGCCTCCGTCCGACTCGTACCCCATGGAGAAACTCTACGCCAAGATTTCCGAGCAGCAGTCTGCCATCTTGCAGCATCAGAGCGACATGCGCAAGGCTTCGGACGAGGATGCTGTGCACACCAGAGCCCTGGACCACCAATCGTCCTGCAGCTCTCTGCCCATCACGCCCGCCACGGACGGCTTCCCTTCGTCGCAGACTGCCCCCACCACTCGACCTGCCAGCGCCGCCCAGAACGAGACGCAGGCCAGCACTGAGGAGGTTTTGCGTTTGAAGCTCGAGCTCGCTCAAGCTCACAACCACATCTCACGCCTCGAGTCGCAGAACCGCTACGGTCTTGAGAGTGGGCGCGTCACTCCAGCTCTTGGTGTCGTCGAATCCGACTTTGCCTCGTCGATTACCGGCGCTGTCTCCCCGATTGCTCGGGCTCTCTCGGGAGGTCCGACTTGCGGCAGCTCCGCCAAGCTGCCTTATCTTCGCGAGCCGGGCTGGCTTGTTCCCGACGATGCCCGCGCCGAGATTCCCGAGCCCATGTCGACAGGAGGCATGAGCCGCGCTCGCGGTATCTGGAACAAGCAGCCTTCTTATCCCAGTCAGTTCCCCCAGACCACCGCCGTGACAGGTGCGCCCCAGGCGACTCCCTGGACCGATCCCCGCGCCCCCACCGCAGGGTACGAAACCTCATACAACCACACAGGCCTGGAGGTGTATCGCCAGGATCGAGCTCCGCCTGACCAGGAGATGATGAGGCCCATGGGACGCCGCACCAATCGCTACGACAGCCGCTACGCTCCCTCGTCCAACTACAGCGGCGGCTTCAACATGAATGCTGGCCCCTATGACAGCACCGCTCTCAGCTATCCCTACGGCAATCAGGCCCCCATGGCCGGCGGCATGGGCTTGGGGATGTATCCCCCCTACCCGCAGCAACAGGTTGGGTCTCCACTCTCACCCCATGCCACCGAGTTCACCTCCTCTTCCCAGGGACCCTGGGGAAAGACTGAGGTGAGCTTCAAACGGGCTATTGCTTGAAGCATCATGCTGACGCTTGAATTGCAGTCCATTTCCAGCGAAGGCCAGACCTACGTCTCTGCCACGACCGAGCCTCTCAACTATCGCCGCCTTCTTGACCGCAACGTCACTTGCGACTGGAAGTACATCGTCGACAAGATTGTGTGCAACAATGACCAGCAAGCCTCCATCTTTCTGCAGCAAAAGCTCAAGGTCGGCACCCCTGACCAAAAGTACGACATTGTGGAGGCGATTGTTGCCCAGGCCTACCCCTTGATGGTCAACCGGTTCGGCAACTTCTTGGTGCAGCGCTGCTTTGAGCATGGCACCCCGGAACAGGTGGTCAAGATTGCCGAGGCGATTCGCGGAAACACTCTGAATCTCTCGATGGACCCCTTTGGCTGCCATGTGGTTCAGAAGGCCTTCGACTCGGTGCCCGAGGAGTACAAGGCCATCATGGTTCACGAGCTGCTGCGCCGGATTCCCGAGACGGTCATTCACCGTTATGCTTGCCACGTCTGGCAGAAGCTGTTCGAGCTGCGTTGGACCGAGTCTCCTCCCCAGATCATGAAGTATGTCAACGAGTCGCTGCGCGGCATGTGGCACGAGGTTGCCTTGGGCGAGACGGGTAGTTTGGTTGTGCAGAACATCTTTGAGAATTGTTTGGAGGAGGACAAGGTTTGTGCTGTCACGTTGCTCTGCGGTGCTGGCGATCGCTAACATGGATGTCTACAGCGTCCTTGCATTGAGGAGGTGCTTGCCAATATCGACATTGTCGCTCATGGCCAGTTTGGCAACTGGTGCATCCAGCACATCTGCGAGCATGGCGCCCCGGCTGACCGCAGCCGAGCCATCGACCATGTCATTCGATATGCCGCCGAGTACAGCATGGACCAGTTTGCGTCCAAGGTGGTCGAGAAGTGTCTGAAGATTGGTGGCCCCGAGTTTCTGGGCCGCTATCTTGACCGTGTCTGCGAGGGCCGGCACGAACGTCCCCGCATTCCCCTTATCGACATCGCCAGCGATCAGTACGGTAACTATCTCATCCAGTACATCTTGACGCACGCCAACCCCCAGCATCGCGAGATTGTCGCCGCTCATATTCGCAAGCACATGGTGTCTCTCCGTGGCTCCAAGTTTGGTTCCCGTGTCGGCATGCTCTGCACCAACCACGCCGTCGCAACCCGGCCTGGTCCTGGTGTTGGTCCCTCCTCCATGGCGGCCATTCGTCCTAGCCGCCCCTATGGAGGTGGTGGTGGTGGTGGTGGCGGTGGTGGTGGCGGTGGTGTTGCCGCGTACCGCTAAGATTTGATCCGCGATCTGAAGAAGCATTTCTTTTTCCTCTTCTCTCAGACACATTCATCGTCCGAGCCCATTCGTTTCTTTTTTTTTCTTTTTTCTTGTCTGTATTACGACCATGATTTTCGCAATCGTTCTTTCGACGAGTTGACCCACACCATATTCGTCTCGGTTCTTCACCCAACATATTCGCCAGCAGCTAATCTTAGAGATCACCCGACATCCTACGCTCGGGAGGCTACTGCCCGTTCGAGTGCTTTGGACACTTCATGATTAGTGTTTTGCGACATCAACGGTTTGCGGCTTTGCAACCTTCTTTAAAGGGGACGGGGGAATCTGTTCTGTCCGATCTAATGGGGACAGCGACCTGCCAAACCCTCGGGGTGGGCCGCGCCTGGCAATCGTTTTCATTCAAATATAACTGTGAGAAATCATTTTCTTGGGGAGCAAGGTTTGACAAATGTGGGGGTACAAGAACAAAAAAGAAGGGGGAGGTTGTGGAGGATAATGACGGGAGACTGCCTTTTCTTTTTAGTCCTGGATGGACGTGTTGTTGTTGATGCTCAGCAGATGCATGGCCTGCAATGGATTAACTTGGCCTTGTCCATGTAACAAATAGATACACACCCATAGTCAATCCTTAATGAGCTCTTATTCTTATGTATGTTGCTCTGTTGTCATGATGACATGTGTAGAATGGCAGTTTTAGGTACCTCATGTAATGCTGATTTCAACTCGTCAAAGATAATAATTGCTAACGATCATGGCAAAACAACAGATTCACGCTCGCCCGCTTGCCTTTCTCCTCCAACTCGTCAATTTCAGACTCGAACCCAACTCAGCCCTCTACACCAGAGGCTCAGGAACAGGAACAGTAACATTGAACCTCTCGCTCCAGGGGTCAGCTCTCCAGTCAGTTTCGGGCTCGTACTCGGTGACCTCGCCGAATCTTTTTGTCAGTGCCGTACCATTGGGGTATTTCTGCTTGATGAACTCGTAGATGAGATCTATTCCTGCCGTGACCTGTTTTTTTTTCCCGTAAGGGTATCATTGTCAATTTTTTTTCCTTTTTTTTGGGGGGGGGGGGGGCGAGAGGGTTAGGGAAGTCCCGCTCGCGCCGCAGTAGGTGGACATCGCGGCCAGGAGACTGATACCGAAGTTTGTACCGGCTGGCCCGGCCGCCTGATTAGGCGTTGTCATGACCAGAGGAGTGCGCGGAGATGTGGCACAACGACGGCGATAAATGCAGGTATGGATTACAGGCTGGATGGGGCCTCAGAGA